TTCTCTATCCATTCGTCGAGTTCCCATACTAAAACTTGCTTGGGACTTAGAATAATTTGCCCGGTCTTTTAATTTCTTTTACAATTCATTTTCTTTTACTCGCTAAATTCTGCTCGGCCCCAAAATAAATCCTCACACTTAAATTTCTAATTTAATCAAACCTTCAGTACCAATAATATAATATTATTAACTAAATAAATACTATAATTAAATAATAATCACCGCTATAATTATAATAATGGTTTCCATTAATACTTAAATAATTAATAAAAATAGACCTAGATACTCAAATACAAAAAGTAAAATCTTGGTCATAATTTCTTGACTCAAGAATTTATTCTTTTGGCTCAAGAAAACTTTTCGAGTGAATATGACGATGTGACCGAAGAATTAGCAAGCCAGGTCGACCAAAATTTCCAAATTCATCAATTTTCATATGAAAAATCAGCATTTAATGACGAAAGTGAAATCCAAGTTGCCCGAGTAAGTTATAAAATTACTATTCGATGGTTAAACTTTTTAGAACTTTAAAGCTACTCAGCTTTACTCGATTGTCTGAAGCAAAAGATTAAATCCGACCCAATCTGACCAACTATTAGTATATTTGAACTGAAAACTAGACCAGACATTCCCGTGAAAAAATTTTCTGATCAGACTATATCAGGCCTGATATAAACCATCCATATCAGGCCTGATATAGAAATTGGCCATATCAGACTATATATGCCTTGATATAAGTATATCAGACTATATACCCGCCCGGGTAAAAAAAAATTATATATAATTTTATTATATAATTATGTATGAAAAATAGCCATATATAATTATATAGAATTAGGTATCATTATAAATAATTATTTCCATAAAAAAAAAAAAATCGGCACGTGTGGGAATCGAACCGTGGACCTGACGTTTAGTAGACTAATTCACTAACCTGCTGACCGAAGAGACTTACTTGAAATGATCAGTTTGTTATAACTACAAGTAATGCAAATCGTATACATGATCGGTTTTTAGTGAACAAAATTTTTCATCTAATTTATTAATTATTAATTATCAATATATAAGTAATAATAATATCTATATGTAGATTTATAAAATTATCTACATATACATGAAATCGCGAAAATGATTCTACGATATTGTTTAGGTAGTTCGTTGCTTTAAAATTTATAATTCCTTCAAAATTAAAAAAATAATAGAGGTAGAATCAGAATTAAAAGCTCAAATTTTGATGGAATTATTTTTGTTTAGTATATGGAACTATATATAGCTGGAGGGCCCGACTAACAATTTATGAACTTGACAAAACTAATAATTTTTGTGAAATTAAATTTTTTATAAGTTCCTATTATCTCATTCGCAAAATACTATTTATTGAAAGATTGTTAATCATTGGAGTAACAGACTCTTGGATAAAAAAAGAGAATGCTTAATAGTAATCACAAAATACATATCAAGTCATATCAACTCTGATCAGGGATTTTTTTTCAAGTTTATCGAAGTATATATAACTTTATAAGGTTATATCAGGCCATATCAGGACCTATTAAGAAATAATATAAAATTATATATGAGCTTATCAAGCTATATCAAGTCTGATATAAACATATCAAGTTGATAAGGCTTGATATGGCCTGATATGGCCAATTTCCATATCAGGCCATATCAGGCCATATCAAAAATTAAATATGGACATATCAGGTCATATCAGGCCAGATATGAATATATCAAAAATTCTTATATGGCCTTATCAACTCATATCAAGCCTGATCAGAATATTTTTTCACGGGTTAGCAAATCTGATTATAATCGGTCAGATTAGGTTAAACATAATTATATCTTACCCGTTCTAATCAAATTTAATCAGATTTGCTCATGTCTAGACTAGTTTTCAGTTCCAATATTATTATACTCTACTCACAAAAATTAAGGGAATAAAAAAAAAGCAAATTTTTTTTAGATTTTTAACAGACTGTATTTCAGCGGAAAATCATCGTATCGCAAAAACAAAAAATACATTTGAAAGCTTTGAGACTCTAGTTTTCGGATGTTGAAATCAAAATTTTTTAAAAATTACGGTTTTAACATGATCCTAAAAAATAGAGCGAAAAAAAAATTATCCAAATTTTTGATTTTTTTTTCGCTCTACGGGCTTGGAAAAATTTTTTCAGACAAAGCGATCTTATTCAACAGATAGCTTGTTTATTCAGCTTTAATTTCTTTTTTTATGTAGCTCGATACGACCATTTGTTGCGGAGATATCCGAGATTAGACGAAAAAGGACGTTTCTATATTTAACCATCAATATCTCTGCAACCAATAATCGCACAGCAAAAAGAAAGACAGTTTTGGAAACTGGAAGGAATTCCCAATTTTTATTGGGAATTCCTTCTAAAATATCCTTTTAAAATATAAAACAATTCAAGAAAAAAAAATCTTAAGATATCAACAAATGTGAAAAATCTTTGGACTCGCTGGGCTTCGAACCCGCGCCTTGCCAGAATAAATTGTACGAACGGACCAACGCATTGAACCGCTCGGCCAACATCGAGGCTCTTATTATTTGTAATATAAATATTTCAAAACATTAAATAAACACATCAATATTTAAATCTATGAGAGAAAAGTTCGTTAAGAACTATTAAGTATTTATTAATTATTTCAACTGTTCAGGAATTATTCAGTTAAATAAAAAACTCATACGAACAAAATGTATATTTTTAGCTTTTTTAATTTTTTTTTTTTTATACTGAAGACTTCCTGGCCAGTTAGAATACTTTTAGACTAAAGTGTTTACAGAATCATGTCGTACAAAAATAAATATTTTCAAACATTAAGTCAACATATCAATATATACTTAAAACTAAATATCAACGTAACTCATATCGTTTCTATAAAGTATTAATTCACTTACTTATGAAGAATTTTTATTTTTTTGAATATGAACGAAAAATATCAATGGAATAATGAATTTTATAATTTTATGATAATCTTGCTTATTATCTCTAATTATTTGTAATATAAATATTTCAAAGCATGAAATAAACACATCAATATTTATATCTACAACAGAAAAATTCGTCACGAGAAATTTTATTTTTTAAAATTGGGTATTTGCATGATTTTGGTATTCATTTACTTTTGATATTTTTACATTCTATATAATTTTTTAAAATTTAAAAAAAAAAAATTTTTCGATTTTGATCTTAAAAATTTAAATAATTTAATAAATAAATGTGGTCCTAAATTACATAAAAGTCACGTGATGTAAAACGTGATGTGATTGGTGTGACGTCATTGTGCTGTTTGTAGCGCGAATATTTGAATGAGCAATAAGTCATGTATAATATTTTACGGTACTAAAAAAATTAAAATTAAGTTTTTTTCAATTTTAAGTTTTACACATTATATTTTTTATGCCAGATTTTACTGAAAATAATTAAAAGTGAAACAAATTTATGTGAAAT